AAAAACTTATGATGAAAGCAGTTTCGTCTGCAACTCGATCTGAAAATCCATCTTCCGTTCCTGGTTTTGCGTGACAATGTCGCGCAGCTACTTATTATAATAATTAGATTTATCAATGACGATTCATAAATATAAAGGTTATTTATTTTTAACTATAGCACATCGAATAATATAGTAACACGTATAATAAATTCGGGTCGTTTCTTATTTTTTTTGTCAGTCTCAACATACTTCAAGCCTCATGGCCCATACCAATTGTTAAAACACCTAAAAAAATGTGTTCAGGTTGGGTTCGGATAATCGCCCGGATGATCGTCCGGTGACATCAGAGAAACGGTCTCGGCATGTCGGTCGCTTCTCAAACGGTGTGAGCCATGAAACATGATCCTGGAAGCATGTGGAAGGAGGTGATCGATGGTGACACAGTAACGATTAACAGTGTGAGCCGTAGGACTGTGATCCTGGAAGCTTGTGATCGAAGTGATACAGGATGGGTATGTAGATCATGTACCTGAAATAGGTATACGTAGTATACACTGTATTCGCAGTATACTATACATCTTATGCATCGGGATAATCATGGGTATCAGTATAATAAAGGGAATTAGTGGGATCAAGAGTATAATTATAATAATCAGTACGAACGTTATGATCAGTATAAACAATACGATCGATATCATTGATATAAACATTATCGTCAGTATAATTAGTATAAACGTTGTAAGTAGTATAAGCGATGTATCATGAATTGAATGTATAACATGCTCTATGTAAATGAAAGTATATAATAAAGGCCTTAAGCCCTACGAAGAAAGCATTGATAGATCGAGTATTCGTGATTCAAATATTATTCGTCCCTAATAATAATATACCACTGTCGTTATAATAAAACCTACGATCATAAACATACCACTTGCCAAATCTAACCACCTCTTATCGACTAAGCCATTCGTAGGTCACACGACGTACCCGATTGAGAAGAGACCGAGACGCTGACGCTGTTCGCTGGTGTCATTTTGGTGGTGACTGTGAGATATGAAATGTAGCTACCCCTCCCTCCCCCCCCCCTCCTCCTGATAGAAGAAACATGAAGGGAGAACAATTTAGATTAAAGAGAAAAAGAGAGATACAGTAGATTAGTATTTGGAAATGAGAATAGAAAAACAATAGAACTGTAGAATACTTACCTAAGAAGACAAAGACATGTATGATGTTTACTCACCACTCTCATTTAACCAACCTCGAAGGAAAGTTGAAGCCCGAATGGTTAAGACATCGCAAGTTCTATGGAATCCTCAATCAGTTAGAAGAAGACCCCAAAGTATAGCTTGGTGCTCCTATTGCAGAATAAGAGGCCATGACGTTAGTAAATGCCGATATGTAACCCTCTTACAAGAAAAGTGTACTGGCCTTTTCGCCGCACTTACCGAAAAACAAGCTGGTGAAGTTCAAGAAACCATTGACGAAGCCTTTGGAGACCGATACCTCAATGATGAGGAAATTCCTAACGCCCTTGAGTTTATGCTGGAAGTGTTAGAAGAAATACTTGAGAACATTAAGATAAAGGAAGAACTTGTTCCTCATAATCGTTTCTGTTCTGTACCCCATCAAGCATTACCAACAAAAACCCAAGAAGAAGCCATCATATATCTACCTCCATGTGACAAGAAAAAGAATTTGCCTCGACAATCAAAACCCATGGTACCTGACGATCCTGACGAATTTGCAGAAGAGCCTCTTGACTTGGAACACCTCCTTCGACGATTAGCTACCGAATATGAAGCTCGCATACAAAAGTGGGCCCTGGAAGAAGTCCTAGAATCTCAGCCAGAGAGTGGCATTAAGAAAGAGAAAGAAGAACTTAGTAGGAAAGACTCTGCCAAGGCTGAGAAAGATGCGACGAATATTGGTGAATGTCATCGAAATGGAATCGGAGTTGAAATGGATAAACTTGAAGCTTTTGAAAATGATCAAAAATCTGCAGAAATGGAAAACGATGATAGGACACTTAATGTTGGATTGTGTTATAAAAAAGGAATCGATGTTAGAAAAGATAACCATCAAGCATTGAATGATTATAATAGTAATGATGGCAACGATAACAATGACAATGATAAAATATGAAATGATGATAATACAACTGAGATCAGAGAGGATAGAAACCAAGAAATTAGAGTTGAAATGGCTGAATGTATTGGAGTCGAAAAGGCTGAACGGATGGATGTTGAAAAGGTCGAAAAGGTTGGAGTTGGAAAAAATGAACGAAAAGCCTTCGAGTACTTTAAAAAAGCCACTGATATGGAAAGTGCCTTTGACGTCAGTTATCATTACGAACATGGAATTGAAGTTGAAAAGGAAACTAAAGACCTACTTGAACCAAGCATAAGGCCCTCTGAAATTGTGGTTGAAAAGGACGAACATGAATCCTTCGATAGCCACCTTGAACCATGGAAGTTTGGTCCTTCTGTTGGTGCGCATAACACTGGGCATTGCTATCAAGATGGAATTGGTGTCAAAAAAGGTGGATGCAAGGCATTTAGATGTTATCAAAAGCCTGCTGACATGAAGTATGCTAGAAGAAAATGCAATGATGGTTATTGTTATAAACCTGAAATTGATGCTGAAAAAGATGGACATATGGCATTCGTTTATGAATCTGCTAAGATAGAGGACATTAATGGAACGTATAATGTTGGAAAACACTATAGAATGAGTGTTGAAAAGGATAAACAAAAAGCCATAGTTTATTATCAAAAACCAGCTGAGATAGATAATGCTAATAGTGCATATAATGTTGGCTGTTGTCATCAAAATGGAATTGGAAAAGATGAACATAAAACATGTGAATATTATGAAGAATCTGCGAATTTAAATATTGAGAAGGAAAAAGACAATGTACCTGTAAGCCTTGAAGAAGCCAATGATACTGATAATGACAGTGATGATGATGACGATGATGATAGAAAGACAATTGTTGCTGAAGAAGAAAATGGAAAATGGATGAAGGTCAAAAGGCTAAAATCATTGGATTTCAGAAATCTTGGAGATGCCTGTGATGATTAGAATAGAAGGGTAGAAAAACTTAAAGTGTTAATGAAAGAAACAGGAAAATTGAAAAAGCTTGACGAAACTTACTCAAAATCAGGTGACCAACAACAAGATGATGAAAAAAGGAAAGCTGTCATAAAGATTTCGAAATTAGCCCTCAAAGAAATGATTACTGTATTGAATAATGAACCTAGAACAAAAGAAAGAATAATGACATTAGAGGTGGAACGAAGAATCATCAACAAAATAAACAAAGGAATGCCCTGGTACTTATCTCTGCTTCAATCGGCCTTAATGACATTCGATCCTGGTGGAAGCTTGTTTCCTGTCGTTTAACTTTGTCTCGTGGAACTCGACCTTGAGTTGGGAAGGAATGTGAGCTGTAGGACTGTGATCCCGAAAGCTTGTGATCGAAGTGATACAGGATGGGTATGTAGATCATGTATCTGAAATAGGTATACATAGTATACACTGTATTCGCAGTATACTATACATCTTATGCATCGGGATAATCATGGGTATCAGTGTAATAAAGGGAATTAGTGGGATCAAGAGTATAATTATAATAATCAGTACGAACGTTATAATCAGTATAAACAATACGATCGATATCATTGATATAAACATTATCGTCAGTATAATTAGTATAAATGTTGTAAGTAGTATAAGCGATGTATTATGAATTGAATGTATAACATGCTCTATGTAAATGAAAGTATATAATAAAGGCCTTGAGCCCTACGAAGAAAGCATTGATAGATCGAGTATTCGTGATTCAAATATTATTCATCCCTAATAATAATATACCACTGTCGTTATAATAAAACCTACGATCATAAACATACCACTCGCCAAATCTAACCGCTCTTATCGACTAAGCCGTTCGTAGGTCACACGACGTATCTGATTGAGAAGAGACCGAGACGCTGACGCCGTTCGCTGGTGTCAACGGCTATGTCGATCATCTACCTAATATGGGCTTCCCGGGATTATCACTCCTAAAAGTCGTATAGAATCTTTAGCAATTATAAGGGTAATAGCGGTGATAAGTGTTTTAAGAGATAACTATGAT